CAATATATAAAGTAACAAGAAAAAAAGTCATCTTTGTGCTCTCTGGCCCAATAAATCTTGACAAGGTGACAAGAGAGGGGAAAAGTTCCTTTTCCTGTATTATTTCACATAACTTAAATTGTGGAAGTCAGAGACTTCCCAAGCATACAGAAAATAGAAATTTGACCTTCTACAAAGATGGGAAATTATTTTCCTTTCCTACTTTCTATTTCAAAATGAAATTCAGAACTGGGATCCCACAGTATTCAAAATTTCATTCCATGAGGACAAAATAATCCAGTGTTACCTGGACATTTCATGGTAACAATTTAGAGAGTTGAACACAGACAGCTGATGCAACCCAGCTGTACCTTTTACACAGCCAACAAATTCTGGGGTTCAGGAAGCTTTTGTGCAGTGACACTAAAGATGAAGATTTCATTACCTTAAAATGCAATAAAACTAATTAAAAGGAAGGTGCCATCTCAAAAAACATTAGGACAAAACCTACAACAGTTCTTACTTTTATACACAGCTGTTTCTAAAGAACATTAATGTAAGTGGATTCTGAGACAAAGCATGAGAGTGCCCATACTCTGAATATGCCATTCAAACTCTGCTGGCAGAAATCAGTACAGGCTGATCTGTTCCAATGGGGAGTAAACCAGAGAAATTTCAAATTCTGTAATGTTACAAGGGACTGAGGGTTAAGAACACTTGTACTCCGAGGCCAGTAAAGCCAAACAAAACAAAAAGTGAATAAATATCAGACCAACTTAGGAACAGGAATAGTTCGAGAGGCAAACAGTTTGTAAGAGCAAACTGATGCATCTTGTGTCATGTCATGTAATTCTGAAACTGCAAAAGGGAACTGTTTGTCATGCCTTACTTATAATAAACAAATTGAATAATATTCCCATGGCTCTCACTAAAAGTGTTCCCTATGCAATGACCTGGGAAAAATATGGTGCAAAATATGCTCAACACAGCTGTAAATCTGTAAAATTTACTGCAACAGCTTCTTTTCTGAAGCTCTTCTTCTATGGAGAAATTTGAAATAATCTGTAACTTAATCCTTTAAGTATTTGTAATTCCATGCTTCAAAAGTTTTGCAAGGTAAAAGCATTGTTAGGTACCATTCTCAAACCTAGAATTAAGAACTGTATAAATCACAAGATCATGGATTGATTTTATCCACTCTTAGGATTCCTCTTCCCTTACAGCAGGTCCAAAACATTTCTGCATGGCTGTTAACGCTATAGTACCTCACGCCTAGAGGGGAAAGAAAAGTGAAAAATAACTTTTTATTTACTAAAACGTGTTTCAGGAGAGATGATGCCACGGTGAAAACAAGGAAGAGAACCTGAACAAGTTGATCCAGGAGATTTTATGAGAAGTCTGTGATACCTAGCTAAAAATGGTATCTTGAGGATTTTGCTTAAGAACATTGCACCTAGGGATGTTGTCTACTGATCCTCTTCTAGCTCCCTTCCCTTTATCCTCACTCTGTTGGCAGGATTAGTTTAAAGATTATTTAAAATTGGATGAAAGAATTAACTCTGAGGACTATTTGATATACAACTCAGTTAGAAACAGCCAACTGTTCCAGTTTGATGTGCCCACTTGAGCTGACTCAAGTCACAGCTCACCTGAGTTGTTCCCTGGTTAAGTGACCAGCTCACCTGAGTTGTTCTCTGTTGTGGCTGTATCAAATCCCTGTGCAGTCGGTGCCTTTCACATGACAGCTCTCTCTCACTCAGGCCCCTGTTTCTTTCATGGGTCAAGCATTCAAAAACCTTTCTTTCTAACCTTGTTCTCACCTCTGCACCAATCAGGATTCTGCAGCTTGATCAGCTTTTCCTCATCAACACTTTTCCTTCACCATCTGGCACAGGGAGGGTTTATCCATTTTGGTGTGGCACAGTGGCAGGTCCCAGAACCTCATCCCACCTCCTCTGGCATCCCTGTGTCCCTCTGCTGTCCCTTTCTGCCTGTCTAGGAGCTCAGCTCCATCTCTGTCACGTTCCAGATGGACTCAGTCACTTCTGAAACAAAAAAGTACTTTTTTGAGAAGCCAAGCACAGAGCAGGAAGAATTTCTTATGCCGTATAAAACATACATGGGATTGAAACCTCCAGTACCACATTATCATAGAATGGTTTGGGTTGGAAGAGACCTTAAAGGCCATCAAGTTCCAACCCCCTGCCATGGGCGGGGAGACCTTCCTCTATCCCAGGCTGGTCCAAGTCTTCTCCAGCCTGTCTTTGGACACTTCCAGGGATCCAGGGGCAGCCACAGCTTCTCTGGGAAATCTGTGCTAGGGCCTCAGCACCCTGAAAGGGAAGAACTTTTTTCCTAATATTTATATATAAATATAAATTTTATAAATTTATAATTTTTTTAATTAAATTAAATTAATTTTTATAAATTATATATATATAAAATACATAATTTCTACTGATATTATAATATATACTATAATACATACTATAATATTATACTGTATTCGGTTATAATATAGGTGTTATATACACACACATACTATATCCAGTATAAAATTGATCAATTATTCATCTATTACCAAAAGACTCGTAACTATCAACTGCTTGAAGAATTGTTACAAATACTTAACAGATGGTAAATAAAAGCATTTTCGGCAGGCTGCTGGGAGTGCAAGAGTTCCCCCTAGCGACCGCCGCACAGAGCCGAAACCCCGCTGCCGAAGGTTCTCAGGGCTGATCGGCCTTTAAAAGGCACGTAATAAAACACGTAATGTTATTACGTAATACGCGTAATAAAATAGGTCTAAAATATATCATAGACGTAATAAAACACGTGTGTTTCAAGCGCATTCGAAGCAGGAAGGGTGAGGCGGTGCCCCTCCAGTGCCCGGGTGCGGCTGAGGGGCGGCTGAGGGGACGATGAGGGGCTGCTGAGGGGCGACTGAGGGGCTGCTGAGGGGCCGATGAGGGGCTGCTGAGGGGTCGTGGCCCCGCCATCCCGCGTGTTCCCGCCGGGAACGGAGGCTGTGTGCGCCCGTGGTTGAAGCACAGCATCCACTGGGCTGCAAAACACCTCCGAGGCCAACCTGTGGCACAGCACTGGCGCCCCGACAGCAGCGTCACGTCCCCGTCCTTCCTTAAACACCATCAAGGGGCAGTGACGCATCCCTGGGCAGCCCATTCCAATGGTTAATCAGCCGTTCTGGGAAGAAATCCTTACTAATGTCCCACTTAAACCTACCGTAGCACAGCTTAAGGCTGTGTCCTCTCGTCCTGTCACTTGTCACCTGGGAGAAGAGCCCGACGTACATCCTCCCTCCTTTCGGGGATTTGTAGACAGCTGCTCCTTATCGCACCTGCTCCATCTCTTAAAATAATCAGGATGGATTACTTACCTCAAAATTCAGCAGGCTGAATTGAAACCCACCACAAAAACAGAAAATTAGTGGGTTTGGCTAGGGTAGTTCTTTTGGAAGTCTGGAGAGCAGGATCAGGTCACTGAAGAAATCATTGACAGGAATACAAGCTGGGAGAAGGACTAAGCCCTTGATTTACATTTATTTTAAAAACTGATTTTAATTTCTTAAACTGAATTTGCTACAGTAAGATTACTCAGCTTCTCTCATATAATCACACAATTAATACTTTCTCTGTAAAACAGTTTAAGACACAAGAAAGAGAATGACAGATGCATTGATAAGGGAGAAACTGACGAAGAGGATGTTTGTCCCATACATCAGGAGGATGTATTATGTTATTAAGGAAAATGTTTCTGTTCCCTTAGTACAGGTTAGGCATAAAATTTGTTCTCAGACTTGCTACATTTCTAATGATAGAATAAATACCTGACAGTTGTTAACAGCCCTTTTGCATTTGCAATCTGGGAAAATGTAACAATCTTAGGAGCTAAAATGTGGGTGGATAGGAAGGAGGATAAGAAAAAGGAAGATTATTGAGTATTGCTATGTGATTGCTCTTATTTTTGGAGAGATAACAGAAATTGGAATTCATTTTCTGTAGATACATCTGTGGTAATGTTCACATTAAATACGTAAAGCTTTGGGTGGACCACCAAGATGAAGTGGGGAAATGGCTCTGCAGTGGAATGTCCACTTTACAGAGAAAAACATGCACTTCTTATTCTCATTCTAATAAAATTTAGAAACTAAACAACTTGTAAATGCAACAGAGAAAACTAGACTGAACAGCCACCTTGGAAACCCTTGTAATATCTGCAGAGCATTTCCAGCATAGGAAAGCACTACAATAAATATTTTTAAACCAGTATTTTGACAGTCTTTGAGTGTATCTTATCACTTACTTCTCTGCCTTAATGTATCTGACTTTGATGCCTAAAATCACAAGTCAAACAATATTAAATGATAAAATGTGGTTCAGTGAAGGTCCTTCAGATGCAAGTGTGGCAAAATGCACACATTTTCGTATACTTAACATAAATCATCCAATTAGATGATTGTTAAACTGAACAGTTAATTGATGAACAGTTAAGTATATAAACCGCTTTTAGTTCTGCCCCCCACTGAAGCCCTCCCTCCCAGCTTCTAGCTCCACATTTATTAAGTCTATAATATCTGGAAAAAACCAAAACGTCCTTGGTTCACTCTAGAGAAAAGACTAAGTAACTATGTAATTATTATACACGCTACAAATTTATGAAAAATGTATAAAAGCCAAAAATCTTTTTGGCATCAATTTCACCTAGAGAATAGACAACATTTGCTTTGTAAGCAAACATCCATGGCAAACAAAGCAAATGTTTTTAAAGTTTCTTTTAGTGCAGTACATCTCCAAATGTTTCTGTAGTATGCATTTGGATTGTCCTTTTCTAAATAAATTATTTAGCTATGACTTCATCATAAAGGGCTAAAAACTTTTTAACCTAGCTCCTTACTCTGTGGATGTGCTTTTGAAATATATTAATGATATTGAGAAAGAAAGTGTTGAGAGATGTTCCTAAACAACACGTGGCTTCAAAGATAATCAAAATTCAGGCATCTATAACTTTTTCAAATTTTTATTATATTGCATAAGCTGTACCATTTTACAAATCTTAGTTACATTTTCAGCGACAGATACACTGATACTGTAGTAAATACAGAGTTGAAAAGACACCTCTGACAAAATATAAAAAGGTAGAAATACTTAAAACCAGGATGCCGAATATCAAGAATGTTTTACATAAACAATATCCATACTAGAGAGTTTTTGAAAATAATTGCCAAGGTCATAAAGTGTTTGTTGAATATAAGGCTCCAGAATTCAAGGTGGTGAGCACAGTCAGTGCTGTGAGTTCACCTGCCTTGCAACATCCGGAGCCAGGCTTTGTATGAACACTATGCTCTAATGAGCACTAAAATCTGCCTTTCTACACAGTGACATGTAAAAATAGTACTGTTCTAACATGTGCAACACGTGCTTCAAAGGAACTAAATCAATTACCTGGGGAATAAAGTACCAGGATGTTTTGGGGAGGGGGAATATAGGAATGTTCAGTAAGTCCTAAAACTGACTGAAAAAATTCATTTGGTAAAACAGTTTTTAGGCTGAGAGGGCTAGCACAAGAAGAAATGACAGAGTTTTGCCCTGCCAATCTTAAAAAAAACCTGAAGATTTATTTTTTTTTTTCAGAACACAATAAATACTGCTTTCAAAAGAAAATGAAGCTCAGATTCAAGTCATTTAACCACCTTTCATATAAATTCTTTAATGTAAATGTAGCTGCCTACTGTTAGAAGTGTGGCTCAAATTAGTACAAATTACTATAAAAGTATGCTCATCTTTAACTCTGTAGGCATAGTATTGTGTTTTCATAATACCACTGAATTTAAAAAAAAAAAATTAAAAAACAATTAAAAAATGCAGGTTAGGCTCCTAAATTGAGATAAAAATTGGTTCTAGAAAATAAGAATTACATACCCATCTCCATACACTTTCTGCTGCTACTGGCAAGCAAAGCTAGCAGCTGAAAAAAGGACTTTTATCATTATAATAATGTTTATATATAAACATATATTAATTTAATTTTTGAAGTTAATATCCCAGTCAGTTTCATAATTGTAAATCCAGTGACTTCAAGATGCTTGCACTTGACGTACAAAGATGAATCAGATCCCATATGTGCATTTTTAAAAGACACTACTGTTCAGATTGCTGAAGATATATTTTTTAAATTTCTTTTCAAAGATAAAATACCAAAACCAGGTTTTACAACAATTACCATCATCATCAACATGCAGAAGTCTGTATTCCAACATAAAAAACACTAGATCTGCCTTTTAAAATATTATAAAAGCTACATAATTGTATGAATTCAGGGGTTTTTTGGCTAACAGAAAAAAAATCCACAATGTGCTTTTCAGATAGTCAGGTGTCCCACTGATAAAATAAGTCTGATGAAAGAGAAAGGCACTTCAGCAGGCTAATTTATCTCCAGGTTTTCCTTATGTAAAGTACTAGACAACAGATGTAGTGCACTGCCTTTTCATTTGCACAGTGTTTGATCAGTAGTGTGAAACTTTGTCACTTTTTAACTAAAGAATCTATACTGGTGCCCATTCATTTCATCCTCTTTGGTACAAATTACTGCATAAAAACAAAGGAGACAACTAAACATTTCTACATCCTGGATTATTTTTGGTGTGTCATCTCTAGCTTTGCAGTGGTAAATAATGTCCCTAATCAACACATAATTTTTGCTTTCAGGTTTGCAATACCAGAGTTCTATTTTCTGACCATTCTATGAAAATTTTCTTTTTTTCTCTTAATCAAATGTGATTTTTAAGTGATTTCCCCACCTTTATTTTTCATCTATAATATCTAGCATTTGGTAACAATCTAAAAATTACTGTCAATGAACTTGCACTTAAAACTATATGTACATAAATAAAGGCTTTTCTTGCAAAAGCTGACAGCTCAAGAAGTGCCTTGAGACATAAGCCTTGCAAACCTTTGTGTTCAGAAAGAACTGATTCCACCAAAGCACAAACACGTACCCATTTTCAAACTAGCATCAGAAAGAAGCTATATCCTTTCCAGTTTTCCCTACTCGTTCCCCTCTCCTTAGAAGGGGCTCACAGACATGGCCCACTTCTTATTCTCAATGTAAGCAACCTCCAGATTCAAAGTCAAAACCTCTAAATGTTTTCCAAGCCTTCCAAAGAGCTGTGTGCCACAAATCCTTACTAATTTTTGTATACACCTAATTCTGGCATCAGCATTTTAACAGTCTGTTAATGCCACAAAGAGCCAACAGAAAAAATATCTTAAAAAATAAATTCAGTGATTCCCATAAATTCATATGTTGAAATAATATAGAGCAATATAGAAAACCATTGGTTTGACTACCAAAAGAAAGTTCACTGTGACATTCTGTCTTCTCCACATGTTACACATCATGTAGAATTTTTTGGGGAATTTAGAGCTCAGCATAGTCAAACTCCTTTTTTTTAATAATCTAAAACCAAAAAGAATTCTAATCTCTAGCAGGCAAGACAGGTTTTTCCAGTGCATAAGTTCCAACATACAGCTGTAATGTGAAGACTGAGATAATCTATTCCAAAATGGTCTGTATGAAAAGAAATCATAATCATAATAATTTTAGAGTTTGATTTCTAATCCTTTTTCTTTGATGACCAGATACCTACTCTGTGAGAGAATGAGAACAACTTGTTTCCTTTGAACTCACATAAATAAAGCCATTTACAGCAGTCTGTATTTTTTGATGATACAAGTTAAGTTTGATAAATTAGATCTTTTTTGTATATACAATGAAAAATGCATTTAAAAAGTCTGAAATATTACTGTAGGTGAACAAAATTTCAAGTAAAGACACAGGAACTTAATATGAATTCCTCAAAACCATGAGCTTGTTAGGGATTTTCTATTATGTTCAACAGAATGTATAATCTCTTTCTGAAAAGAGAGCCATCAGAACCAATGCAACTCTGCAAACAGGGCAATATTGAACCTCAAAAACATCTTTCAGAAGATGTGCAAATATAAATTGATTCCTACTAATGTACACAACAAAGCAAAGGATAAAATTATCAATATCTGGGCCTAGAAAGTCATATAAAAAATCCAATAGAACTGCACATTAAAAAAAAAAAAAAAGTCTTGTGAAAATGTACTTGGTAATGGACAACAAAGTTCCTGTTACCTAGAAAGAGGACCAAAGGCATGCTAATATGACAAGCCATCTTCATATCTGAAATGGATGAATCATAATTAAACCTCTTTTAGGTTCTTTAGGCCAATTTAATTACAGACTTATTTACACACTGTAGTGGTTTGGCCCTGGCCAGGCACCCACCAAAGCCACTCTTACCAATCCCGTGCACAAAGAGGACAGAGGAGAGAAGATGCAATGAAAGGTTCATTGATAAGAACTGGGAGAGATCACTCACTGAATACTGTCACGGGCAAAACAGACTCACTCACCTTGGGGATATTAACTGAATTTATTACTGACACAACCAGAGCAGGATAATGACAAGTCAAATAAATCTTAGAACCACCTTCCCCCCACCCCTCCCTCTCCCAGCTCTACTTCTTCCCTGCAGTGACACAAGGAGACAGGAATGGGTTGGTTCATCACATGTGGTTTGTTCCGCTGCTCAGGTACAGATGTCCTTCCCCTGCTCCAGCGCAGGGTCCCTCCCACAGGAGGCTGCTCCCCATGAACTTCTCCAACTTGAGTCCTTCTCAGGGGCAGCAGTTCTCCACAAATGCTCCAACGTGGCTCACTTTTCCCCAGGGTTCAGTCCTTCAGGCACAGCCTGCCTCCAGCGTGAGACCCCCGCAGGCCCACAAGTACTGCCAGGACACTGCTGCAGCATGGGTCTTCTCTCCACAGGTCCTGCCAGGAGCTTGCTGCAGCACAGGTTTCCCATGGGTTCACAGCCTCTTTCAGGCATCATCCACAGACTGCAGGTGGATATCTATACCCCATGGGTTGCAGGGGAACAGCTCTTCACCATGTGTTGTAGGTTTGGGTGGCCAGGTTTTGACAGTGCGGGGGTCTACAGGGGTGGCTTCTGTGAGAACCTGCCAGAAGCTTCCCCTATGTTCAGCAGAGCCATTGTCAGCAGCTCCAGGACAGCAGCAGCTGCTGACCAAGGCTGGGCCAATCAGAAATGATAGTAACACCTCTGTGATAACAGCTTTGAGAGGGAAAAGGTGTTACTGTGCAGATGTAATTGTGACCAGAGAAGGGAAGGGTGAGAACACATGAGAGGAACACCTCTGCAGACACCAAGGTCTGTGCTGAAGGAGGGGGAGGAGGCGGTCCAGGCACGGGAACTGAGATTCCCATCTGTGATGATGATACCCATGGATATTGGGTGTGACTGAGCTACAGCTCATTTCCCATAGCAGCCTTCCCAGGGCTGTGCTTTGCGCTGGGAGCTGGAAAGTTGATAACACACAAATGTTTTGGCTACTGCTGGGCAGGGCTGGCACAGCATCAGTGCTGGTTCTCTACACTCCCTTCTAATCATCAGGCTGAGGGTTGGCAAGATCCTTGAGGGGACTCAACTAAGCCAGCTGACCCAAATTAACCAAAGGGATATTCCATACCATGTGACATCAGCTCAGACATAAAAGCTAAGGAAAGGAGGAGGAAGTGGGGCCATTTGTTATTTACAAGGTTTGCCTTCTGGAGCAACCACTACAGGTGTTGAAGCCCTGCTTCCCAGGAAGCAGCCACACATTGCTTGCTGAGAAGTAGAGAACCAACCTATTCTTTTCGTATTTGTGCACACACCAATTTTTACTTTTGCCTTAGCAAACTGCTTTATCTCAATCTAGGTGTTGTTTTCCATCTCATTTTCTCTCCCCTGTCCAGCTGGGAAAGGGGAACAACAGAGCAGCTTGATGGGCACCCAGCATCCAGCCAAGGTCAACCCACCACACACACCCCCCTATCTCAAACTTAATTTGCACTTTCATGCTTGTGAACTCAATAGGAACATTTCTTTCATGAAGCAAATGCTCAGTTTGGACTGATGCATTGCTAGTACCATCCTGGTTACCTTCCATACTCTTCTAGAAACAGCACCAGACAACTGACAATCCCAACACAACAGACATATTTCACAGTAATATTTCCTGAGTAAATATTCCCAGAAGCCCAGCTGCATAGGATACTTCCCAACTCTTGAGTGTACTATAGGGCAAGTCACTAAGCACCACTCACATCACAATTCAAATATAGGCATTGTAAGTTTGGGTCTTGATACAGAACCTTAACCAAGCTTTAAGGGAAATATTTATAAAGCCTTTTTACGATGATTTATGATCAAACTGCCAAAGCCAAAATGCTGGAACTTATTTCACCAGGGAAACAGCCTCAAAGCCACAGAAATACATTCTGTTTACTATATGAAGCACATTAAGAGATGCATCCATTTTTCTGTTAGCCAAAGTTGAAATGATCACTTTGACAAGATGAACATTAAAATTAAAGAATATTCTGATGGCCTTTCCTTCCTCTATACATATCTTAGTTAAAATTCATGCATTCATGACTTTTGGTAATTTTAACTCTAAGATGAGTCATAAATAGTATTTATATTGCATTATAGACCAAATTTTGCAATCTGCTGTCTCATGCTCATAACCCTCCCCCCCTGACTTTTAAAGCCTGTTTAACTCCTCTGCAAATCTAGACAAAAGCAGCTCAGGCTGGCAAAATGTAGGCACATAAACCTCAAATGATCTCCCATTGTTTTAAACATAAAATAAAAAGCAACAGTGCCGAGCTTTCCTGCTCAATAAACTATTTCCAAGGCATAATTTGTCTAATCTTGCACATTTCTTCTTCATGGGCCAAACTCTCACTTATAAATATGCAGAGATTCAAGGCTATACTCTGGAGCACAGCTGGCCCAACAGCATGCAGAAGAGATGTTCACTGACAAAGAAGCCCAAACAAGACACTGGGATCAGGAGTAGCTGCTGCTTCAAATGCTACCAGAACCAGTCCTTTTCTGCTGGGTGTGGACCCTTCATATCAGTCTTCAACATCCACGGGCCACAATAAAGCAGACTTAAACAAAGCAGATGGGCAACATCTCAAGATAGCGGGGACCATGAACTGCAGCGGCCACACTTTTACACTTCCCCCGCTGCTGTATGGAATTACACATGGATGGGCACACAGGGAGAGCAGTAATGCTATAGAGCTCTGCTGATAAATCCAACAGAGCACATCTGCTGGTGTCCTGGGACCAACGTATGAAACATTTCACATTATACAAAGAAGTAGTAACAGATCCCTAGAAAAGTTCACATATAAAATACTGTACAGATGGTCACGTTGATTAGGAACAAGGATGAGGAATGGCTTTAACTAGGCTACCATTGCACTAGCAACAAGTACAAAAAACTTAAATCATGTGCCTACATTTCTCACCGTGCATTCCCAAAGGTGTGTCCAAGAATGACAGGCTAAGTAAAATGTGGGCCTTCCCCATACTGCCAGTAAAATTAGGAACTGGAAAAGTTTAATAGTAGCATTTCCCTGTTTTAAATTCACATGGAATATCAATTGCCCAGCTTAAGTTTGGTAACTCAATCTGTAGTTTAAAAAAAAATGAAACTTTTCTTGATACTAGAAAACAGCATTTCCCTTGTAAACCCAACACTGCAGAATTACAGAAGCAGGCAAGAGGTCAACAACCAGCAGGGAGAGCAACAGCACAAAGCACATAGTGTTTTAATTTATAGGAATAAGTGGCCTCTCCTCTCTTTTCTTCCAGATATTGGTTTTGCTATCTCTTTTCATGAGAGGTGGTCTATCCCTTTTTTTAGCAGAAGGGATACCAGATTCATGACTTCCTGGTAGAGATTTTTTCCTCAGACCTTCCTCATCATGCTGTTCTAGTACTGGCCCATTCCCTCCTTCCATAATGTGTCTCACAGCCTGGTCCTCTGGAGTGCAAACAGTGGTCCCACTTTCACTGCTGCTCAGATCCAGATCTTCCAAGTAAAGAATCTTAGAATGTGGCATACTTTTAATGAAAGTTTTCTCTCTCTCCAATTTCCTGTTAGGATGATGCTCATTCATGTCCACACCAGAGTCCAGACTGGTATCATTACTCTCAGTTTTTTTGCCCTTTTTCAGATCTATGAAAGAATGCCTCACTTGAGCAATTGGCTTTCCATCCAGGGACACAAACCATGCTCGGGGATGTGGAGATGGTTTTCCTTTAGAGAGTTCCAGCAATGTTTGTTCTGAAATCCCTTGAAGTTCAGATGAAAACGGAGTCATTACAACTGCTTCATTCAACGTCCCAGGAACAGAGACAGATTCCAGTAAGCTGTTGGTGTAGCGGCCCCAGTTGGATGTTTGGGAAGGTAAGCCCTCTTCACCATCCAGGGCACTGCTCTCATCTCTGCAGGCAGAAGGCTGGGGATGAGAGTGCACTGGAATTTTGGGGAGTGTTTGCATGTAACTCTCGCGATTCATGGGTTCCATCATGGGGCCGTACACCAGCTGCCCTTTCCTTGGCAAAGTTGCGGATTTAGCAGGATGCAGTTGTTCTGGGGAGTGGAAAAGGTCTGAGGTTTGAAGAATAGCAATAGGCTGATTGTAAATATGCATTAGATGTTCTGGGATATGGGAAAGCCCATACATCTCCTCTTTCAAGGAAAGATATCTGTTTTGGTCTGGAATGTCCCTAGCAGCCTGGGAAATAGTACTGTTACTGTGCTTTGGCTGCTGTAAAAGCCTCACTCTAGCACTAGGCTCCACTGAATGGACTGAATTTCCTGCCTGACCAGTCTGACAGGATGACTGATAAGAAGCATCCTCTGAGTAGATTTTAAAATTGTCTTGTGATTTTCCATCTTCTGTGTCTATGGACAGCCTTCTTTGAGGGCTGTATGAAGAAATCTTCGGTGTATATAACTGGGACTTATCCTCCAGCTTTAAAGACCCTTTGACAGCACTGATGTGATTTATGTGAGTTGTTGACGTGGTCTGGTCTTTTTTTATGACCTCCAGCTTGGTTGTGTTTTTTTCCTTCTTCTGTGTCCGACGACACTTATCCCTATGCAAAAGAGAAGCAAGGTGACTGCAGAGCATATTAGGAAACACTGGACTGTTGACTACCAAAGCTGAAGGCTAGACTTTGGTTTAGCAGTTGTAGTGTAATTTGACATCACAAACTTAAAATGAAATTCTGTAACAACAGTAATTAAAAAAAAAATATTAGGCTACACGTTACAGTTAAGCTAAGAAGACAAGTCTTAACCTCAAAAGACTGTTTTATCAACCTCGAATTCCACTTAAAATGATCTCACTGGAACTTCTTTCGCTTACCTGCAGTAACAAAGAAGAACAGCAAAAAATCCAATGATAATGACAACAGTTCCGCCCAGTATGGCCGTAAGGAACACCGTGTGATAGGCTGTTATGTCCTTGGAAACAGCACTAATAATGGATTCTAGATTATCAAAAAAAAACCAGAAAACCATTAGTTCTTAAAACCAAATGATTCTACTCGATGTGCAGAGCTAATAAACTGAACAGTACTTTTCCAGTGATTTTGTGTTCCAATGGCATTATGTTCATCCTTCCCTTTTCACCTTCCTATTTCAGCAAACTAGAAAATATACAAACAGCTTACAATATAATGACAGGTTCATCTCAAGTACTAAAGCCTTACCATGACATCTAATTCATTCCAGACTAATTATATTTGTATTAATTGTCCAAACTGACTTAGAAAAGTGGTCTACATTTTCTACTCAGCATTCTGTCAGTACTGTTTTTGAAATTAGCCACACCGCTTCTGATAGATCTCTTCACATGAATTTACAAAACATGCAAGAAAATCACTGTAAGGACTCAAACAAAAGTTATCCAAGTGGTGAAGCTGCATGTCACTTCTCCTGTTGCTGTTAAATGAAGCAATCTAACTGGCAGTCGTAGTGGAGCACTCAGCAATTGCTTGGCCAGCTGTTGCCATACCTCTCGTTCCAGGCAGTGGAGCTGCTATCCAGTAGCCCAGGTGCTGAGCAGTGTATGTCCATACTAACTGACCATCCACTTCCTTGACCATTCCTAGCCCACGGTTTACCCAAGCACCTGAGGAAAAAAGAAAAAGACAAAACATTGCACATGCAATGTTCTATACCTCAAACCATCAGCAGTTAGGCCATTAGCAAAAATACACAAGGTCACCGGAAAGCCTGAAACCTAGCCACTGTTTATTACAGCTTTAGCTAAACAGGCCAACTTCCTCTCCTGACAATTCCATTGCAAATATCCCTCTGTGGCCATTTGCTTTGAAACATTACTTACCAGAAGTAAAGTTAATATGATTCATTTTCTATTAATAACTGTCTTTCACAGATATACACATAAATAATTTGAAAAAGCCTATTATATGGCCTTCAGCATGCATGAAGGACAAGACTAAAAAATGAGGGAGCAGGTAACTGATGCCTATGAATACAAGTTTAACATCAGCTAGCAGAACTTAGTGGGAAAACATTTTAATCTTTTTAAGCTGCAATACGATAAACAATGTTCGTCTTGAATGTTTCTCTCGTCCTCCCTGCCCTGAGGCTGTCACAGTTCAGTTGGCCCAAGGAAGTGCTATTGTTAGGACACAGAATCCACACCATCTGTTTGGCAAGGCAAAGGAAAGGTAGTACGGTATGCCAGCTTCTACAATTAATAAAGCATCCATTAGAAGAGAGAGAATTATACTTAACTCATTTAAACACATTTATTGTGGGCCATTTGTGAAATTCTGATGACAGAAACTAGCCTCGTGTAACCAACCTTACCTATTCAACCTGCAAATACTGAGAGGTAAAGAGAACCATCAGCTTTTTTAAAACACCAATAATCAAAGTATGAAAACAATATAACTCATGTAAGCTGGAGTTTATATTAACTTCGATTTGATTTTCTTCCAGGACCCTTCTTTCAGTAAAGGAAAAGTAAGTGTCTCCCAGCCAGGAGGTAAAGATGAGGGTAGACACCTGTCACAGATGCTCCCATGCACAGCTACACACAGAGAAAATATAATTTAGCAGTAAAGCATGCAGCTTTCTCCTGGAGCTTGTGATAGCTGGCAGAGGGGAAAGGCAGCAGCAACCAACTAGAGTTCTAAAAGTACTTTCTCAGCCACCTGAGAAACCTGAGAGACAGGAGTAATACCAGCAAATGTGGTATAAAAGGCAAAAATAATTTCTAGGTCTCCAAACAAATCCATAAGAAGCTATACAATGCTTGCTATACTTTTCAGCAAATTACATCTTCCCCCAATATACTCCATAAAAAATACTTAGTATTGAGAAAAAATATCAAAATGTGATTCATGAGTAAGCCCATTTTCTCAATGGTTTACTGCCATTCAAGCAGAAGGATATAATTCTCAATTTAATGTTGAATGCAAGCCTTCTGTTTTTTGTAATTCTATTAAAATCCACAAAGTACTTTTACCACTAATGCAGCGAAGTATTTTGTAAGAAGGAAGCCACACTCAGTATAGATGAACAAATTCTGCATTTACAGCAGCTGAAGTATAATTACCAAAGCTCATTTTCCAGGAACAGTCTCAGTTCCACTTGGAGTAAGCCCTGAGAACACTGCACAGGCAGACCTGTGAAAGCAGTTTCTATCTTTTTCTTCCTGCCTATGGAACAGCCCACACCACAACAAACACAGACCTGTTCCCTTGCCACTATCAATGCTGACTTGGGAGCTCTGATTACCATCATAACACATTATCCAAGGACTTCAGAGTTTAAAATTGTGTCAGTGTCTTGCTGGGGACATCTTGCATGCAACATCCTGGAGGCCAGAGCCTCATTACTGAATGCAGCAGGAGCTCTGCATTCAGCTCAGATGGGGGCCTGCTTCTCCTTAGGGATGCTCTGGAATGCCTGCTGCAGAGCTGAGGTGTTCAGCTGCCCTCAGTCACCAGAACCTTGACTAAAACATGCCTTGCTATTATTCAGTTACCTTGGGAAAAAGTCATTTTGCACGTGTCAGATCAAAGGTGAAAAAATAAAAGGAACATACTTAAGAATAAACATCCAGAAAGCAAATATAGTTGCAAATTTTTACTGTTAGAAAGAAAGAAATGGGAGAAAAAGTACAAATTATGCCCCAAAAGTTGCTGTCCTTTTTCACCATCCTCCTTTCCCTCTCCTCAGCAAGCAGCAGTGAAGGCTCCATGTGGAGCAGTACATCTCTGAAAGCATCCATTACAAACAAGTTTGTAATGCCTTTACTGAATCTCTGGAAAGTACATCCCATTGGAGAGTGAAAAACAACTGGTTTTATTGGGGTTTGGATCAGCATGTCGTGTTCCAGGCTCCTGTTTTACTCACAAGGCCAACTTGCCTTTGTGGATGCTGAGTAGGACCCTCCACACCCACATAAACACAGTACACTGGTTTATATTCTACTCTGATATTCTACTCTGATGCTGTGCTGCTCCAGTTCTGTCAACTCCTTGTTTTAACAACAGTGTTGACTTCGCTTTGTTTAGGGAGGTAAAACAGCTCAGCACAGGATGATCAGGAGCTGGCAAAAGGGGCTTTGGCAGTAAGAAATTTAAATCCTGGGTGATATTTTACCACCTCAGACTAAAACCCTTCCTTTGAAGAAAAATATTCTTTCCACCAATTACCCCTCTAAAGTCCTATAGGTGTATAGACAGACTTAATCTTCTATGCCAAAACTTATCCTATTTACATTTTCCCCACAAAACAGCCTAGACAAATTTTTATTAGCACGTCCTTAATTCAAATCCATGCTCTTCAGGTATTTTTCATTAAGGTGGTCAGTTTCTTGAACATGTAAACAACACTTTGCTAGGGCTGGTGTCCCTGTCTCATACTTTCAACTGCTGAAAAAAAGATTTGTGCCTGGATAAGGAGCAGGACTTGACCTCCTCACTTGCATATTTCGAGCTGGAGTGTGATGGTGACCATGAGGTGTAATGTAGGACAATCAGGACACTAATGCACCCACACCTAATACAGGTCATCTAAATGGGTTATGTGGATGTAGCTCATTACTCATTCTTGACTAAAATTAGATGTGAAGGGATGACAAAAGGTTAAGAATGACTAATCCCCAGCCTCTTCTTTGCATACTGGAAGAACTATATTGTTCCCTTGGATAACTCTTATTTCCCCTTCATTTCACTTTCTGAATTGTTTTTGTTAACTGAAGCAATATCTATTCCAGTTCTAGCGTCAAAGGATCTTTAGAGCTACACTCTAGGAAACAAAGCACACAAACCTTCAATTCTGGTTTGCTTTCTTTTAAGAAGGAATTCACAAAATTACTAGGCTTGAAATTTAACAACACCTAAAATATATGTTCTGTGAACACTCAGCCTCCCATGAAAATAAAAAATCCAGTACATTAAATGCAGGCAAAAGGAATGCTAATGAATTTTACCAAAGCTTTCTGAACTATTGAAAGCAGGGAAATACCTTTCAACAATTCAAGCTAGTCCATTTAAAAAAAATGATGATCTGTTGACCATGACCTCATAAAATAGTGCCATCACTGTTCCATGACCCACAGTGCCATGTGCCCAAACCTACAGGCATGTGCTAGAAGACAAAATAGCAAATAACCCACTTACCAATTTTCATATCAAATGTCCAGGCAGGTACAGCATCTCCTGATTTTACAGTAGTTGCAGGAAGAGGAAGTGTAACCTGAATGGGACCATTTACATTCAGCTCTTTCCCAGCCAAAAGAACATTTACACATATGGCAGCAAGAGGAGTTAATTCCATGCTTTTGAAACCTGAAGGCAAGAAATATCTTGTAATTCTCCATTCAGTTTATTTAAAAAGATATCAATTAAAAATTAAGCTACTAAAGGCAAGTCCTAATCCACATCCAGTGACACAGTCAGCTGTTACCAACTTGGTCAAGTAAAAATCAACATTACTTTTCTTCTGAACTTTTAACAATTTGTGATTAAAACAAAACACAGTCATTTCTATACCAATACTATAAGAGAAACAGATTTGCAACATCTGGGTTTTATGCTGACTGTAGAACTAATGATGAAGCAAAACTTGTTTTTGGGTGGGGGAGGAAGGGTCTTCCCCTCAGATAATCAGATTACAAAACACCTAACTCATGTGAAATACAGATCATACAAGAACTTTGGTATAATCACAATGTACATAACATTGAAAGAAACTGAAAGCATATGGAACCTCTACTGTAAGGATTAATTTCCTAATTTGGCAGTGAGAATTAACTGAATAGTTAATCATGAGGCTTGTCAAAGCACTCAGAGGAAATGTTGCATTTACAAAGCAGCCTAAAAGTTTCTTTTCTTTGTTTTCCTTTCACCAGTTTGCAAATGCTCCAGAATGCCCTGTATGACAGGATGGTGAGAGAAGCTGAAACAGAATTACTAAGTAGCAGAATAATGTTAAATCTGTGCAGGCTGTTAGAAGCTGCTTGTGAGAGAACTCCTGGCACATCAGATATCAATTAGCTACCACCTGCCCTAAAAGGAAGCCTATTCCTTTAGGGGTATATGAATAATTTAAAACACATGCCAGACAGATTGAAGGGAAAACTCAAAGAGGATAAACACTGCTTATTCTCCAATGTTTCTTTCCTTTTGCCTTCCATTTAAAGAGGTGAAATACAGACATGAAAGATTTTAAAATATCTATGTCAAAATATCAGTATATATGCTGCCTTTAATTGAATGAAAATTAGAGTATGGTGAGTTTAAATAAGCCATGTAGAGCCCTCCTCCCGCACCACAATGAATTTAAGAGCCTCATGGCTTCAGATCCACTGGGAATAGAAAGAAAAGAACAAAAGAAAGATGGAACTGCACACAGCACAATCTACCAGAGATTACTGTACTTATTCAAATTAAAAAACTGTCTGAAAGAATGACAAATACTAAAAAATCCAACGGTATAAGAGCGGAGTTACGACTCATGAAACATTTCTCCAGTGAAACAGATGCACAGAAAACATTATTACAAATCTGCTCTGTACACGCAGGGACCACTTGGTCCCAAACTTGCCAGACTGACTGACTGTGAGCCAAGCAGGGAGTTCCCTGCAATCTCTGTGCTGGGTGTAAGGCCCTAGAACCAATCACTCCAGTGAAAATGCAGAAACTCCTCAGCTGAAGTTAACTGCTGCTGTTTCACTGATCTCTAGGTTCACCTCATTTACAGTCTGGCTATAACTGCATTTTAAGGTGTTTACTAAACCAATTCCACAGTCTCACGAAATCCTGAACATAGATACATATACACATATATAAATGTAAAAAGCAGACTCTGAAGTTGTGTTTCACTGCAGCAAGATATATTCTCATACTGCCTGGACCAAAACAGAGTAACACTGATTACTCACCTGATATGTTTATGCCTTACTCCTGTGGAACAAAGCTTTCTGATCTAATACAATGGAAGAAGGTTTAAGGTGACTCTTAAATTAAGCATATGTTTTACTGTGCACTCATATGCATTATAATATTATAATATTTCTTTATAAGAATTCCTAATCATCATATTCACCCACCTGATTTATTTAGAATAATTCCTGTTGTATAGAGAAAGCTGTCCACTTTCAAAAATTGCTCTGGCACTGTCAGATAGGCTGTAACATTTGCAATATGATTTGATGGAAGCTTTATTAAAGATTTTGGAAACTGAACACTCGGTTGGGATTTGGCATCTGTAAAAGAGTAATATTTTGTCTTAGCCACAGTAAAACAGACAAGCAGTGTTTTTATTACCCATCAGAAATCCACTTAGCATAACAATCTGTTTTCACCCATTTTCTCTGTGATTTGTGTATTTCCAGTCTAGCACTTGCCACAGCCCCTCGTATAGCTACATAATTAACAGAAAATCTGGCTTTAAGTAGATAGGTATTATATGAGAATAAGATGATGCTTATTTTTTTTCCATGTGGGTACAGATGGCTATCACAAAGTGTTTAGTTACATTCTGCATACACAGAACTTACCAGACAGTTTTCCAGTAATTAAGACAGTATCTTCAAAGAGCCATATATTAGCTTGACTTTGTGGGAATAATGAGAGCGTCACGGATGAATATACTGTGGAAAATTATAATATCTGTTACTCTGTGCAACCAAAAAAAAATCCTCCAAGGTCTCCAAGCCTAAAGAACTATTGAACAGAGCAGATAATAAACCAGAGAGTATATGAAGACTAAATACATTCCTACTATTACCCAGAGCAGCAATTTTAGTGTTTAGGCAGAAAAACCTCTGTTGAATGTTTTCTGCTGTTTTATACCTTCTATGGATAACCAAGTGGCTAGAATTCTTTAATGTGTCATTTTTTCAAAAATATCATGTGTTTTTTAAGAGAATAGTTAAACAAGAAAACCAGTGAGGAAACTACTGAAGCAGAGCTGTAACATGTTATACCTGTCTTAGAGGACAAAAAGCATCGGCACTCCAAGAATCACTCAGGTCAACAGGATTTTTGTCAGAACATTAATAGCTCTTTGCTAACTCTAGGCAAAAAAAAAAATCTAAGACTTCACTGTGTGTCACAACATAACCCACTTAGATTTTTAAAAGGGCTATTTTCTGGTTTAGAGTAATCACAATTTTGACAAGTTTAACAGACCGTTCACCCTTAGATCTGCATTGATAGGCATCACCTCTCTTGACTGACTTCACTGAGTTGTGTTCAGCTGACAGCAACTACCCAGACAGCTTAGGAGAGAAATTTAATTACTGCCAGATACAGTTTAATAATAGGACTGTAAGACGCTTACGTACTTGGCATTCTCGCAGTCTTCCAAGGCAAAGGTGTCAGCAGGTAGCCATCCTTGTATGAGACAATAGTTAAACTTAATCCTAATTTGTAGGGGACTTTTATTAACACTGCTCCATTGTTTCCAGTAAGAGTGGAATTTGTCAGGGTGTAGTTAACAAACACCTCTACCACCGCCTGTCGAAGGTACTGATGACTGATGATGTCATTTACTTGAACTTTTAGCGTAAAAACAGATCCTATTGACAAAAAGAAAAACAGGAGGTCATGATAATACATCACAACTAAGGATCATCATTTTGTAAAGAAGTCCTGGAGTTCAGGTCTTTGCTATTCATCCACTGCACAGTGGATCTCTATCTCTAGCCAAAGGCAGCTTTACCACAGAGTAATATATCCCAGAGAAGGGGAAAACAAAAAACCTTTAGACGGGGAAAAAGGGTGTCAAAAAGTGTTTCTCAAACTCAGCAAATATAACAGCTAACTAGTTAAAAACAAACAAACAAAACCATTCTAAACCAAATTACAAAGCAATCTTCCTCTTTTTGTTTAAGCTTGAAGAATGCATCTGTGACAAAGTGAGATTTACTGTGTTCTGCAATATCACACTGATAATACAGATGGTCTTGTTATCCAACCCTTGGCTTGGGACACACATTTCAAGATGCACCTTGAGTTTGTAAAGGCACAGAACCTGATGTCTACAGACATATATTTATATGTGTAACATTATTATAAAGCAATCAAATTCATCCAGACACTGTTTTAAGCTATCATCTCCCACCAGACTTGCACTGGGCTACTTTTCACCTTCCTACATTGCAACTTCTAAACAGTATTTCTCTACTTTAATTGGAAGAGCTGATAGCTTGTACAACACCCAGTGTCTCTCAGAGATCATAATTACAGTGACTAAAAAGTATGTTGAAAACAATAAATCCGCTTGAACAATAGTCTCAAGGTGCTCTGAAACACATTCAATTTCTTTCCCACCCTGATGGCAAATAAACTATTAGGGAGTCTTTTCACAGTATGTGAAAAGGGACAGAATTCCACATTATTTCCAGAATAATTTGTTGTTAGAAATTAAAATATATATGGATCAATATTTTAAATAACAAATTTTCCAGTATTTTGGTTACAGATATACTACTATTCAAAATCACTGCACTACTTTGTATCCTAATACTTTCAAATACATGCATCATGAATATGCATTTCTATTTAGGTCAAATGTCAAGTTAAGTTATTTGAAATGTATCTACCCAAAATTATACTTCAATTTCATGATGCAATCCCCACTGTAATTGAGATTGACATTGCACCAAGAGATTACTGCCACTGACCTTGATTTAAATGAATAGGACTTGAGGAGGTGAGTGCAATCCATCAAAAAAAACCCAGTATGTAGTGGAGATGCCCTCCAAATTGGGAAATTTGAAATTGGGAAACTCTCTGAAATATGTATTTATTTAGATCTATTGTATGCATGAAGTATATTGTATATTCATGCAAAAAATGACCTGCACACAAGAAAAGCTACACTGGCCTAATTTATTACAGTTTACCACACACAGAGCAAAAACTCACCAGCTGTGCTAGACTGATTCTCTGCAATGTTATACAAAAATCTGCATTTCCTTGAGCAAACTGATACATATTTTCAGAAAAATAAAAAATAAACTGCAGTGGCACTCAAACGTATTTGACGGAATTAAACAGAAAATGCACAATAATCTTGGAAAAATGTCACGTGCTTTCTTTTTTTCCTTATGAAAGGTATTTTGAGAATAAAATCGCTTTCAATTGCTGTGCTAGAGGGGTTTTAAATCATGGGGGGAAAAAAATATGTCATGTCAGCAAATTACAGGCTCCAAACAGCTCCTCCAGGCATTGATCCACTTACACAGATACTAGCATCATTCCAGCGGCTGCCAAAACTTGAAAAACAGGTCATTTGCCCCTGGCCAATGACTAGTTAAAAGGCTACAGAGGAGAGGAAACAGGCTGTGTACAGTATTATTATTCAGTAATCATTTGGAAGTCAGGAGTCTATCATGAAATGGTATTTAAAATTAAGAACTACTGTGATACAAAATTCAAGCTCATATCAGTAAGAAGGAATACCAGAAATGCCTGTTATAAACTGGTATTTTACCAGCTGCAATCAAGATAGGAGAAAAAGAGCCTAGTTTTAACAGCTGAAATAAAGCATAAGAAATTAAAACCTAAAATGTACTCAGAAAGACACATTCTTTCAATCATTTCATACTTTTAATGAGTATTTTTCCATTTCCTGCTGACAAAAAGCCTAACAAGAACACAGATGATTGAGGGCAAATGCCACAGCCCTCCTCCAGCTGTTAGTAAATTCAGAGGCTGTTATGTGCAAAAATATTTCTTCCTCTCACCTCCTTCAGTTACAGCCATATTAAACCCCACTTTCTTAGAACCTTAGGACCCCAAAAAGCCAAAAAAAAACCAAAAACCAACAAAAAAAAAACCCAAAAAAAAAGACTGCAAAACTAGAAGAAAGTAGTAGCAAGCTGTGCTATATTCCTCATGTCCCTAAATATCCAGACACAGATTAAAGGAGACTCAACCCCAGCTCTCAGTGCCTTTGGCCTCATCTTTTGTGCCAACAGAGGACTCCTCCTGAGAAGAGGGAGTTGTGTCCTGCCTGCATATGGATTTGCTAATATCAGCTAGCATACACTGTGCCAACAAGTCACTTTAAACTCCCACTCAATGGTTTTGGAGAGATTTTTAAAAAAAATTATTCTTTGCACTCCTCAGCACTAACTGCACAGGAGATATGAGGACACATCATTACGCCTCTATGCAAATGTTAAAAATCCAAGTGAAAAAAAGCCAGAATCCAACAGTAACAATTTTCCACTCACACAGCCACATTCACCATAGTTTGTTGCAGCCCAGTTAAAAGCAGGACATTCCCAGGGTCCCGGAGCTCAGACTTTGTATGCAGTTCTGGTCCTACAGTACTGATCATTTCTTTCCAACCTTGACATCCCCTGACCAGCTCCCCCCTCAAACCAACCCCCTCACAATATGCAAATTTATCACAGATTTAATGGCATTCAGTTATTAATAATGTCACAGTAACATCCAGAAGACCTAATTAGCAAAGGAAATACCGCCTTTCTTTTTCTTTTTATAAATATCTTAATTTACAAGCCTGTGAGGACAATTTTAAGTCTCAGCTATGATGGAAACTGCAGTAGGATATTTTAATCACAATAAAATATACTGAAAAAACAATTCAGATGAAAATAATGAACAGTTGGTTAGCTTTTTAACAAAACCAAAGCTGAAAACTTAAACAATGGATGAACCTTGTGCTTCTTTCTGGTCACTGACACATGCCAAACACAAGTGGGTCAGCTACATCTCAGTATTAAACAGATTTGACAGAACTCCTACAATTAGAAGAAAGAACTCAGTCCTTGCTAATTTGATTTGTGCTGCCTCAGAGGAAAGGATTCCTCTCTTGGCAGGTCCCCTGGAAATGCCAGCTCCTACAGCATTAAAATGTTTCTGATAAGTGTTCAAATGCAGAAGTTATTCAGACAAAGGGAAACACACACTGCCACTAAATGTATCACAGTTAGCTACTTCAGAAATGTCCTGGTCAGTAAAATTGATGACATCTCATTTCTTTGAGAAAAAAATATCTAATGCTGGAATTTGGCTTCACATCACTATCCTAACTCAGAAATTGTATCACGGAATTAAGCCAAAGAATTGCTTGAAATTGCAAGCTGGGTACAAATGTAACAGTGCAAAAAAAAAAAACCTCAATTATGGTCCAGATAATTTGTTCTTAATTCTGCAGACAAGCATGTCATCTGGTTAACATTTATGTGAGATTTAATTAACACGGTCAAGGCCAGAACCCTCACAGGCACCAATATATTCCAAACTACACGTGTCATTAACTGAGATATGGTGATGAAAACACACACACAGGGCACTGCCCAGGAAGAAACCTACAGATTCTCTAACCCAGCCCTAAAAGTCCCTTTCCCTATTTATCACCAAGTTCCTCTAGCCAAAGAGGCTCGGCACCTGGAAGGAGGAAAACACACAGACAACTACACAGTTAAGCAATTATCTTATGGGATAAACAGTAAATACAATCAAATTATTCATTAGTTCCTTCCTTCAGAGAGGACTCCTCTCACCCTTGCCCAGAGATGTTAAACCCATACCAGAAAAGGCACACACTGATATGAGTTCTATGGCAGCTGACTACCCCAGGCTCCCTGCTCACCAGGCACAGAAAACTGGGGCTCTGCCATTTCCTTGGTCTTAGCTGACTGAACAACCCTTTTTTCCATCTTTTTCCTTCATAGAACACCATATTTTTTGGCTTCACGTAATTAGGGATATGAAAGGTGCACTGATCTGTAAAGAAAAAATGTGTAATAAGAGTAAGGGGTTTTACTACCCATCCAATATTGCAATGGGTATTGCCATGGGGGGTGGAAATCAATGAATCACATAATCTAGACAGCCAACACACATCTGGCTTCAGTATAAAAGGGTCATGCAAAAGCCATCCCCCTGCCCACAAACGCCAATCGTTCCTCAAAACCACAGTAATAGCAGTGACAAACTACAAAAGCACAGATTGAAAAAGTAAAAACCATCTTCAGCCCATGAAAAATCCACATACATGAGGGGGACTTGTGGCAGCACCTGAGGGCTGTGGGGGTGATTTAGTGCAGGGCCAAGCCCCCCTCCCCACAGGGCACCATCCATCCGTGGGTACCTTTGTTCTGGAGTAAGGTACAAAGCACTGACACAGGACTGAGCTTTCTGCCTTGTACACTGCATTAAAATGACATGATAGGTGACCCCTAAACTCCCATAACTATTTTATGGGTGTATTGTGAGAGTTATTGTCAGGCACTGGGGTGAGCTCCCTGGCTGGTTTTCAATTATGCTTCTCACAGCTATCAAATAACCTGCAAATCTAATTAATAACCTCTACAGCCAAATGTAGGCTTCATTTGTTAGCTATTAGTGTTCTTTTATCCTGTCATACTCCACGCAGTAATTTATAGACCCTAGTACAAATGGGCATATACATGCATAAAGATCTTTTTAACTCTACACAAATCATTCTATCTATTCCAAATTGGTATCAGAATATCTCATTTAGAAACTAATTACGTGATTCTTTATAAGGATGTTTTATATGCTGCTCCTCTGATTTAAAACAGTAGCAGAAAATAAAGAGCAGAACATTATTTTTC